ATGTATTATTTGAGGGAAGTTGCATTATTTCAAATTTGATGCATACAGTGAGACCAATTAATATATTACATTAAAAAATTTTAAATTTTTTTAGCTCAGATTTGCAAAACAAAGCACAGTTTTTCTCAAACTTAAGTGTGCCTCAAAATTACCTAGAGGGCTCATTAAAACAAATTGCTGAGCCTCAGCCCCAGTTTCTGACTTAGTAGATCTGAGGTGATGATTGAGAATTTGTATTTCTAAGCAGTTCCTGGATACCACTGTTTGGAGTACTAACTTTCAGAACTACTGGTTTAGTATAATAAAGCTTGTATCCAAAACAGTTTGGTACGCATGATCCTTTCTGGGGAAGGGAGGTGTCTTAAAAACAACTGTAGAACGAATCATCATTTTTGGAGTATCTATTACATACAGAGAACTGTACCGAATAGCTTGTATTTATTTATTTCTCACTTCGAATCCTTGAGGTGGGCTTTTCAATCCCACCAAAGGAAATAACTGAGATCTGGACCAGGCCTGGGTGAGTACATAGTCTTTTTACAGAGTATATACCCATCAGAGACAAAACATTGTTCTAAAACTTGGGGCTGTTGCAGCAGAACAATTCAGAAATTACTGTGTACCGCCACTGAAGAAAAAAAGACATCAGACTAAAATCAATTGCCTTCTGCTGGGCAAGGTGAATAGCTCTTCTCTGGATCCTTCCCCGAAGATACTCAGCCTCCTGCTGCAAGGGCTTGTTTTGGGGCTGAAGTCACAGGGTCAACCGTCGTACTCTGCCATTTCCTCCTTGCTGGTGCATGCTGGCTAGATGCAGTCACCCATGCCTCTCTGCATTCTGAAGATGCCTTGTCCCTCCCTGCCACATGAGGCAGGGCTGACGCCTCATTTTTCACCACAGAAACAACCCACTACTCACTGCCATTACAGAGGATGGGGGAAATCTGGGAAGGCTGGCCAGGACTGTGCCTGAGAGTCCCAGGATCTGAAACACTTCCTGCACAACAGTTTACTCCCATATGAAATGTCTCGCGTGGCCCAAGGAATACAAATAAAGGAGGAGCCAAGTCTACATTGGATTCCCCATTTGACAAAACTTTCTCAAATATATGGCTCCCCCAAGAGGCAGATAGGTTAGATTTTTCTTCTCATTGCCTTGGCACTTGATCCCAACAGAAATCACAGGGCAGTATCCTTTGAAAACCAGAAACTCAGAAAGATGGAATATGGCCAATTATCAGGGCAGGTTGGCACCTCTGGCTTAGAACATTTGAACCCTGTCCTAAGGAATGGTTTTCTTTTGAAGATGGATAGTGCCCCACCCACCACACAATGCTCTGTTGGGTAGGGGCTTGTGCAGGGGTCCTGGGAACTAGAACTGGTCTGACTTCATCTTTCTTCTCCAGCCAGACATCCCCAAAGTCCTCCTTCTACTCAGGGTTGGACTACAGGCCAAGGCCCAAGGCTTCTGCATATCTGCACATGCACAGGCTCACTGAGTTCTTCTGTTTCTTCCTTCTTGTCTAGAATCCAGGAGTGAAGGGGATGAAACCCCAAATGAAGGGCCCAGAATTATAAAGTGCAATTGCCTGGCCAAGCTCTTCACTTAAGAGAAAACTCCTGAGAAGGAAGGAAGTTGATTTGTCTGAGATCACGTGGAATGTTAGCAGCCAAGATTTGCCAAAGAAAGACTTCACTGAGAGTTGGTGCCTGGGAGAAACATTTTGACCCAGCTTTGGTTTGTGCTTACCTTTCCTAAAGTGAGGCAGAAGGAAGGGACAAGACTAAAATCAATGAGGAGTAAGGGAAAGCACAGGAGCAAGATTACATATAGAGCACCACCTCACTCTTGGCTGTGAGACTTTTTATCTACAGTCCTAGTTTACCTCTCATTTTTCTTGGAGGTAGATTGTTATCCTTATTTTACTAAGGAGAAAATCAAGGCCCAAGGGGTTAACTGATTTGCCCAATAGCACACAGCTCATCCCTGGCAGAGCTGGGATGCAAAACCATCTCTGCATAGTTCCCTTGATGCTCATACCTCCCTCTTTAACTGCCCACCATCCCCCATCCCAAGGTGAAGCCAGAGCCAGCACACCAACCTGCAAACTCATGTCCCATCCTGGGAATCCCCACAAGTCACACCACCTCCACATCACCACTAGATTATTTTTTCCAAAACATCCATATTTAACAATGCCAAAATATCATATAGATGCAATAGTATAACACATAGACTTTTGCCTCTGTTTTCTCTCACTTACTGCAATGTTTCTAAAAGTCATTCATGTTTTTGTATATGCCCCCTTTTTCGCATTACTGAGTAGTGTTGCACAGTATACACTTTCTATAGTGTGTTCATCCATTCACCAGCTAATGGGCATTTGGACTGCTTCAAAGTTGTTGTTTAATTTTTGGTTTTTTAGTTTAAAAAAACATTTTTTTTTTTGCTATGAATAAAGCTACTGTGAATATTCACATGCAAGTCTCTGTGTGGACACACAATTTCAGTATCTTGGGTGACTATGTAGGAATGGAATTGGATTGCTAGAAATTATGTTGAGGTTATACTTAACTTTATATGAGAAAACTGCCAAATTTTTTCCAAAGTGACATTACTATTTTGCATTCCCTCCTATAGTGTATAAAAGTTCCAGTTGTTTCATATTCTAGGCAACACATGGTTTTGTCGTTTTAACTTTAGTAATCTAGTGTATGTGTAGTAGTATTCCACTGTAGCTTTAACTAATGATGTTCAACATCTTTTTTTTAACAGTGCTGGGAATAGAATCCAGGGCCTCACACACACTAGGCCAGGGCTCCATTGCTGAGCATCCCTGGCCCCTGTGTATGTTCTTGAGTGAAGTGTTTATTCCAAACTTTTTTTTTACCTATTTTTAATTAAGCTGTTCCTTTATTATTAAGTAGAATTGTATATTGTAGATAATGAGTTCTTTGTTAGATGTATGCTTTATGAACACTTTTATTAGTCTAGGGTTTAAATTTTAATTATGCTTTTTGAAGACACTTTTTCTTTTGATTTAATCATCTTTTCTTTTATAATTCATGCTTTGTGTGTCCTACTTAAGAAATCTTTGCCTAATCTAAGACCCCCTAAAATTTATTTCCCTGTTTTGTTTCAGAGGTTTTGTAGTTGGTTCTTACATTTAGGTCTATGATCCGTTTAGTTTTTATATATAGCGTGACATAAGGTTCAAGATTCATCCTTTTGCATAAAGATATCGAACTGCCAATCCTTCTGTTTGGGGAGAGGGACTGTGGTATGCTTTAATTTTAAGAAGTGAGGTTCTCCCTGTAAGTGAGCTGCCGAAGCTCTGTCCCGCGGCGTAATCTAGAGGAAGGTAGGATTCGGGGAGAGTCGCCCCGTAGTCACGCAGGCAATGGAGGTGGGTCGGGGAGAGCGGGGACTATCGAGTTGTTCTTCCAGATGCCCGGGGCCGGAAATGCCGCGAGTGACGCGGACGTCCCACTCCGACAACCCAGTTGTGGTTTCCATGGTGACGGTAAACAAACCTTGACTGCCCGCGCTTCAGTCTCCCAGAGACTGAGGGCCACCGGAGAGGAGACCTGGGGTGAGGCAGGCGCGCGAGAACTCGAAGACTCGGAGCCCCAGGGTCTTGCTAAGTTGCCCGGCTGGTTTTGAACTTGTGATCCTCCTGCTTCAGCCTCTCAGCCTGCTTGAATCACAGAATGGCTTCATCATCATCTCAAAAGAAAACAACCCAAAAAAAGAAAAATGGAAGAGTCTTCAGTGAAAAATGGATGAATGCTTTTATACTGAGAGAAATGAGGCACCCTGCTTAATTTTTCTAAACCAGTTTGTCTCACCAAACTATAGCCAGATGAATTGAGGAAATGGGGAAAAAATCTACTGAAAAAGATTTAAGAGTGAAGCTGCTAATTTCAAACTTTTTTCTTTGGCAACATATGAAAGTGCTGACTTGACAGATACAGTTCAACTTGCTGTTTTTAATCAGTATTATAGATTATGAATATAATATCACTGAAGAGATGGTTTCTCTGATGCCATTAAAATACAGCTAAGGGCTGGGGACTTAGTTCAGTTGTGCTGCTGCCTGCCTCACAAGCTCAAGGTCCCAAATTCGATCCCTGGTACCAAAAACAAAAACAAAAAAACAAACAAACAAACAAAAAAACAACAACAACAGCGAAATCTCTCATTTGTATGAAGCAGTAAAAATAACAGTGACTTTTTTTCAAACTTTGTTAATATATCTGGTGTAGCCATAGTGATACTCTGTGTGATGTAAAGAAGAGGGATTTAAACTGGATGTGGTGGTGCACGCCTATAATCCCAGCACCCAGGAGGCTGAGGCAGGAGGATCACTGCAAGTTTGAGGTTAGCCAGGGCTGCATAATTCAAGGCCAGCCTGAACTACAGAGTGAAATCTTGTCTCAAAAAGAAAAAGAAAGAAAAAAAAGAGGTATTTATAAATTAATAAGAGATGACGCAATTGTTGCTTGCAAGTCACAATAAAATAATGCTGCATCATACATCAAGGAAATTCAAGGTTCAAAATGGATATTATGGGAGCTAGGCATGGTGGTGCACATCTATAATCCCAGTACTCAGGAGGCTGAGACAGGAGAATCATGAGCTCAAATAGTGAGTTCAAGACTAGCCTGAACTATGTAGGGAGACCCTGTCTCAAAAAGACAACAAAAAGATGTTATGCAAATCATCATCAAAGCTGTGAATTTCATGAGGTCCTAGGGATCAAATCACCAATTCCACAAGTTCCTTAAGAGTAAGGCTGCTGTGCTCGCCTTGGCAGTACATATATTAAAATTGGAATGATACAGAGATTAGCATGGCCCATGCGCAAGGATGACACACAAATTTGGGAATCATTTCATATTTAATTTTTGTGCTTAATCAGGAATCTTGTTCTGTGGTTGCACTAATGAGTCAAAAATAAATGTTTTGAAACGTTTTTTAAAAAGTAAGTAGGGGAAAGGAAATAAGGGAAAAGAGTACATATATTAAAATTGGAATGATACAGAGATTAGCATGGCCCATGCGCAAGGATGACACACAAATTTGGGAATCATTTCATATTTAATTTTTGTGCTTAATCAGGAATCTTGTTCTGTGGTTGCACTAATGAGTCAAAAATAAATGTTTTGAAACGTTTTTTAAAAAGTAAGTAGGGGAAAGGAAATAAGGGAAAAGAGAAAAATGAGAAAATGAAAAAATGGACATAAAGTGTTTGCAAATAGGGAAGGGAGGAGGGGGTGAAGGGAGAGCAGGGGTATGGGGAAAAAATGAGAACCAAGACCTGTCATGTAAAGGTACAAGATCCCAATGATGAATGTAACCATACTGTATACCTAAAATGTAACAATAAACTCAGTGAGAAAAAAAAACAATAAGGATGCCAATTATGGGGACATCATTTTTCTGAAGTGAGGCAGCCAAGTTGGAATAAAATTTGAAAAGATTTTGTGAATTGTGAAATGATAATGTCATTTATGGAATCAACGAACCTGAAGGTGGAAATTCCTGACCAGTTCTGCATTTTTTTGATTTGACTACTCATTTAAGTAGGATAAATGTGCTATCAAGGTGAAAGTTAATTTATTTGTGCTATATTTCAATACAATCTACAACACCGTGTACAATGCAGTGTACAAAACAGAGAGGGTCATGGGGGAAAAGGGTAGGATGTACCATGTACGCTGCAAATTCCCAGTGATAAGTGTTATCATTACGTATGCCTAAAATGTACCAATAAATGTTTTGCTATTTTAAAAAAAGGTTCTGCTAGTACAAAATTTTACATTCTGTGGGTTTTTGTTAAGAGGTATTTATAAATTAATAAGAGATGACGCAATTGCTGCTTGCAAGTCACAATAAAATAATGCTGCATCATACATCAAGGAAATTCAAGGTTTGAAATGGATATTATGGGAGCTAGGCATGGTGGTGCACATCTACAATCCCAGTACTCAGGAGGCTGAGACAGGAGAATCATGAGCTCAAATAGTGAGTTCAAGACTAGCCTGAACTATGTAGGGAGACCCTGTCTCAAAAAGACAACAAAAAGATGTTATGCAAATCATCATCAAAGCTGTGAATTTCATGAGGTCCTAGGGATCAAATCACCAATTCCACAAGTTCCTTAAGAGTAAGGATGCTGTGCTCGCCTTGGCAGCACATATATTAAAATTGGAATGATACAGAGATTAGCATGGCCCGTGCGCAAGGATGACACGCAAATTTGGGAAGCATTTCATATTTAATTTTTGTGCTTAATCAGGAATCTTGTTCTGTGGTTGCACTAATGAGCCAAAAATAAATGTTTTGAAACGTTTTTTAAAAAGTAAGTAGGGGAAAGGAAATAAGGGAAAAGAAAAAAATGAGAAAATGAAAAAATGGACATAAAGTGTTTGCAAATAGGGAAGGGAGGAGGGGGTGAAGGGAGGGCAGGGGTATGGGGAAAAAATGAGAACCAAGACCTGTCATGTAAAGGTACAAGATCCCAATGATGAATGTAACCATACTGTATACCTAAAATGTAACAATAAACTCAGTGAGAAAAAAAAACAATAAGGATGCCAATTATGGGGACATCATTTTTCTGAAGTGAGGCAGCCAAGTTGGAATAAAATTTGAAAAGATTTTGTGAATTGTGAAATGATAATGTCATTTATGGAATCAACGAACCTGAAGGTGGAAATTCCTGACCAGTTCTGCATTTTTTTGATTTGACTACTCATTTAAATAGGATAAATGTGCTATCAAGGTGAAAGTTAATTTATTTGTGCTATATTTCAATACAATCTACAACACCGTGTACAATGCAGTGTACAAAACAGAGAGGGTCATGGGGGAAAAGGGTAGGATGTACCATGTATGCTGTAAATTCCCAATGATAAGTGTTATCATTACGTATGCCTAAAGTGTACCAATAAATGTTTTGCTATTTTAAAAAAAGGTTCTGCTAGTACAAAATTTTACATTCTGTGGGTTTTTGTTTTGTTTTTAATGTAGAATCTCACTATGTAGTTCAGGCTGGTCTTAAACTCCTTTGTAGCCTGGGCTGGTCTCGAACTCACAGTGATCCTGTCTCAGCCCTGAGTGCTGGGATCACCAGTGTGTGCCACCACACCTAGCTTATTGTGTCATATTTTATATGACCACATTTAACAAGTTAATTCTTTTATCCTAGAAGATACAATGACTGTATATACAAGAAATGATCAAAATATATAGTGAATGCTTAAATTTTAAAAATTTATTATGGTAAAAGACATGTCCTTAGCCCCCTAAAAACATTCTCCCTCACTTCAAACACAGTGATTCCGTCATTCTTGCCACTTTGTGAAGCAGTTCCAGAAGTCGACTGCCTTTATGAGAAGTGATTAAAATTGTGGTAAATCCTGCTGCTGAGCACCATCCAACCAAAAGGCAGGCTCGTGCAAACGTCACTGTACTCATAATGTAGAATCTCACTATGTAGTTCAGGCTGGTCTTAAACTCCTTTGTAGCCTGGGCTGGTCTCGAACTCACAGTGATCCTGTCTCAGCCCTGAGTGCTGGGATCACCAGTGTGTGCCACCACACCTAGCTTATTGTGTCATATTTTATATGACCACATTTAACAAGTTAATTCTTTTATCCTAGAAGATACAATGACTGTATATACAAGAAATGATCAAAATATATAGTGAATGCTTAAATTTTAAAAATTTATTATGGTAAAAGACATGTCCTTAGCCCCCTAAAAACATTCTCCCTCACTTCAAACACAGTGATTCCATCATTCTTGCCACTTTGTGAAGCAGTTCTAGAAGTCGACTGTCTTTATGAGAAGTGATTAAAATTGGGGTAAATCCTGCTGCTGAGCACCATCCAACCAAAAGGCAGGCTCGTGCAAACGTCACTGTACTCTCATTTGCCTTTTTCATTGGGCTCTAGCACCGTGCAACTCCTGCCTTTTCCTCAAATTCAAAACCATGAAAGATAAGTGCTCTTAGTCCATTCAGAGCACTGAGGCAGCAGTGGCCGTGCAATAAAGACACACACTGAAGCACAAGTAAAGCCACAAACTCATATAATCTCATTTGCTAAAATTATCCCATGGTTCTTGGAGACAGACTCCCACCCCACTGGGCACCACCCCCAAATCTGCTTCCTGAAGGCAA